CGTTGAGGACGTACCGGCAGAAGTTCATTCAGCGATTCAGTGATTTCACATGCGTATGACACAAGTCAGCTCAAATTATTCTGCCGCTCAAACTTGCACGAGTAACACGACGCAGAAATGTGCATCGCGTTTGGTGTGAACATCATAACACAATAAATTGATTGACAAACTGAATGTGATTTTGTTACCTTAGAATGAACCGTTTGTATAGAGTCAGTCATGTTTCTACAGTAGCCCATAGCAGACAAACCCAACAGTGGCTCTAGACGGGGTCATTTGCATTTGTTTTGTCGGCCACTGCAGTTATCATCAACGCTTGGCACACAAGAGAAGTTCAAGCTCTGCAACCTCGCCGCTAGACGCCACAACGTCCTACACACTCGACCTTTAAGAAGCAAGAAACCAGCAAATTAATTAAAAAAAAATCCACAGGGACGTCTTTTGCAGCCTGAGATAAAGTTTAGATCAACGCATCATCGCGGCTGTGCCTGAACTGAGACATGACGAAGACGAAGTGAAATTAACAGCTAACTTCTTGTGGAGAAAAAATGAAGAGGCTGTTTTTAAATGCTGTCATAAGTCACACAAGCAAGAGTCAAACTGCTCCTGATGATCAGACCACAGCTCACACTGAGTGTGTCAGGCTGCTGGCTGGACGGCTCACTGAGACCTGATGATGATGATGATGATGATGATGATGATGATGATGATGATGATGATGGTTTACGGCAGCAGGTTCAGTTCATACAAACTTCATGTTTGGTTATTTTAAACAGATTAATCTTTTAAATGTGATTAGAATCTCTGTGAAGCTGATCCAGACACACACTGACAGCCAGCAGAGGGTAAACACACCTCAACACTTCACACAGTGTCAACACAGTCCGTCACTTTAGTCAACATCACACCTCGGTCTGTCTGAGCACAACTTTTCCTCGAGGCTTTTCTACCTCCTCATCTGGTCCCTTCTGACATGAAGGAGCAGCGGCTCTACTCCGAGCTCCCTCCAGATGTCTGACTCCTCCCCCTATCTCTAAGGCTGAGCCCAGACACCCTACAGAGGAAACTCATTTCTTGTATCTGTGACCTCATTCTTTCAGTCACTACCCAGAGCTCATGACCATAGGTGAGGGTTGGGACGCAGATGGACCAGGGAATCAAAAGCAGGGCGTAAGTATAAACAGAGCTGGGGCCTGTGAGGTGGGGGGGCCCATAGAGAGAGTGGGCCCTCCAGCAATGTGTTGGGTGGAGAATGGGTCCTCATGAGTGATTGTCCCCTTTAAGATTTGCCTGTGTTCAAAGAAGAACTCTCATTAACCCTCTGAAACCTGAAGCAACATCACTTTTCTTGTGTACCTGATACTCGCTCTTTTTTAAATTTATTTGTATTTACTTCAGTTTAGTCAGTGTGTATTTTAGCAGAGTCAGGACAGCTCACAGAGAAAGAGTTTCACTGCCTGTAACCACGTTTACATTTGCTGTATACATTATAATAAACCTCTTGAAGCTTTTCTTTGCTTTCAGACACGTCTCACAAGTATTCAAACCTGACTGCTGCCATTTATGTCAGCAACATGGAAAAAAGGAAACTTGGCAAGAAATACTAATACTTAATACAAATAATAATAAATTTAGTTTTTTGTTTGTTTTTTTTTAAAAGGGGAAAAAGCTGGGGAAAACTTTTTTTATTTTATTTTTTAAATATTTAGTTTATTGTTTATTTATTCTATTTATTTTATTATTATTTTAATATTTTTTTGTACATTTCATTACATTTTAAAAATTATGTTACATTTTATTCATTGTTTGTTTTTTTACTTTATTCCTTTTTTCCCTTTTCTTGTTTTTAATTTTCTCTTTTTGCTGATTTATTGCAAAAGTTTTGGGTCATTTCGTCTGTTATTGCTCGCTGCTTCTTCCCATGTTATGAAAAGACATAAAGCCTATTTGCTGGTTTCAAATGGTTAAATTAAAAACAGTGCCGTTTGCTATTTATGTCCTTGAAAAAGGTAAACCATCTCTGTCATGTCTATTTTTTTTTGTAAAATAATCAATAGCACCTAAAACAAAATGATATACTTATTCTATTGCTATTAATTATTTATTATTTATTATAATTGTTAAATTAAATTAATAATTTCTTATTTTCTTTGGTATTTTTTGTGAGTAATATGTTTATTGATGTTATCTAACGCCAAGTGTCTGATCATGTGACGTGACAATATGTGCACGATAGCAAGCACTGGGGCCCGTCAGTCAGAATGACCTCACGCCACTGATCGAAAGCTTTATATTGTTATTATATTATTTATAATATTGATATTTGATTTCCTCCTCATCGCCCAGCTGCACTACACTAAGTTTCATCTGTATTGTCTACAGGTAAGAAGACAGTGTCAGACACAACTATTCAGAACTATTCAAACCATGTACGATGTAAAACGTAACACTCGCACAATATCAACAAGAGTCAGCGTGGCTGCACATGGAGGCGGCAGGTTAAAGGGATAGTTCACATTTTTTAAAGTGGGTTTGTATGGGGTATTTATCCACAGTCAGTGTGTTACCTACAGATGTCAGCTGGTACGCCCCTAGTTCAGAGAAGCAGGCTGGAGTACAGGCATGGAAGCTAAGTAATGTACTGCTGTGGAGGGGTCGGCAACATCACAGATTTAAGACATCTAAAAACTAGGGATGTACACCGAGAACGTTCCTAACTGTGTCGGTCCTTTAGAACCTTAAAGCTTTTTGACACGGTGCTGCTATCGGTAATTTGCCCCCCTTTACCTCAAGGAACTCCTCACCCCCCAGACCTCCTCACGCACCCTCTGTTCTGCACAAACACCCTCCAAGCTCCCAGAACCAAGCTGCGCACAACGGGTGACCGGGCCTTTTCCTCTGCTGCTCCGAGGCTGTGGAACGCCCTCCCTGACCACCTTTGCTTTATCCTGCTCTGTGGCACTTTGAGATTGCTAAAATGTAAAGTGCAATACAAATAAAATTTATTATTATCTTTATTATTATTATTATTATTTTGTAGTGCATGCATCAAAGTGTTAATGACACTGCGTCTCCTGCTTCATCTCCACTCCAGTCAATATGTCGGCCATCAGAGCGCGGCGGGCTCACTTTACCAAACCGAATGAAAAGTCAGCTAGATGCAATATTTGTCAGAAACTAGTTTCGTGCAATGGAGGAAACACAAGCAATGCTATGAAACACTTGCAAGTCACTCATAATATTAAGGCGAAGGAGTGCAGCGTGTTTGACTGCCTAAGCAGAGTGTCGTAGCGTTAGCCCGGCGGCTAGCAACGCGCTGTCGTCCTCAAAGCAGCTTCCCTAAAAAGCTGAATCTTTTTAACATCTTTTCACGTCATTATTTTTTACACCAAATTATGTACAGTAGTATCGATATCGATAAAATCCTAACGATATACATCCCTACTAAAAACATCCCACCTGAATAAATCAATATCAGATTATTTAGAATATTTTCACTGCTTTACTTTAATGTCAAACAGTGATTTCCAGCAGTAAACTGAAGCCACTGTAGAGCCGTCATCACAGCCAGACTCCACTGACAGAAACACCAATTCTAGCTCGCTGAACACGGAGCTGCTGGTCGACTGCCGCCTCCATCTGTTAGTTAGTCTGTGTTATTGTGGCGCTCTGGTGTTTTGAAGGGTTAATTCAGACTCAAACACACATAACACAGACTATCTAACAGATGTGATGAGAGCACATAGAGCCAGCAGCAGCAGCAGCAGCAGTGACAGGGAGGATGGAAACAGAGGGCTCTGTGGGGACGGAGCACCTGCTGCAGCAAGCCAACACGCCGTCTGTGGTCATTGTGACTTGACCAGCGGACTTCACTACCAGCTGATTGGCTGTTGAAACAGGTGACGTGCTTTAAAACCAGCTGAGCGTCAGGTGACACCATCAGCCGGCTGGAGTTGAGCTCAGACCGGTCAGTTCACACCGCTGACACTTTTCTCGGCAGCGTTTTCGTCTCATCATGAATCTCTGGTCTGAACTGGGCTTCACGCTAACGTTTAATTTGTAAAATTAAGAATGTATGTAAGAACAAAACTGTGACGATACGATATTGTCACACACAAATATATCACGATACTGTGCTGTATTGAGTTCCCCTGATGTAGAGCAGTGAAAATATTCTAAATATAATTTACATCAAACACTGACTGTCTTCTGGGTGGGACGTTTTACAAGAGGCTGAACTACAGTTTGCAGCTGCCCCGTGCACAGCTGCACATCACTGAGCTTCCATATCTGACTCCTGCCTGTTTCTCCAGACCTGGTGCGCGCTGACCGACATCTGCTGAGTGTAACACGCTGACTGTGGGTAATGATCACACACAACCCTGCTTCAAAACATCCAGACTGTCCCTTTAAACAGTCCCACAGGGGAAGAGACTCTGGCTGCAGGACGAGCAGAGGAGATGGTTTATTCTGTCCGCCATCACATCACTGTGTATGGGTGTGTGTGTGTGTGTTAACTCTGAATTCCCCCTTTCAATACTCAGCTCTGCATAAACTAAATGTTTACAGAAGCAGCTCAGAGTTTAGAGTGTGTGTGTGTGTGTGTGTGTGTGTGTGTGTGTGTGTAGAGTCACTGCCTCCAGCCAAATGGCATTCAGTCAAACAGGTTGGAAACAAGCACATGAACAAATTCCTTCTCCTTTCTGTCTCTTCATGATGTGGACAGTGTGTCCAGCTGAGGACACGAGTGTGTGTGTGTGTGTGTGTGTGTGTGTGGGTGTGTGTGTAGCCAGCAGTGGTCTCTTTGAAAAGGAACCCCAAATATGTGGAGCTGCAGTGCAGTGTGTCCCTCAGCTCTCTCTGGCACCAGCTCAGCTCCAAACACATGCCTTATGTTCCTCTTCACACCACGTGACAGCCTTCATCCTCTCATCACAGCCCTTCATGGACTCACTCAGACATTTAGGAGTAAGAACAGTTCACACAGGACTCACACTGACCATCACCAGTGGGTGGAAGAAAGGACAAACCCTGGCCTGCAGCCAGACCCAGACCCGGACCCGGACCCTGGACCGGTCTTCAGGTCGTCAGTGAGCGAGTAAAGCTCTTCATCACACGGTGAAGGTCTGAATTCACTCTTCATCAGCAGAGCTGGAATCAGCTGCAGCTGCCCTCGTGAAGATGACAACTTCTCTGAGCCTGTGGCGCGAGCTCGGCTCTCACGGTTTCCGCTTCACTGAGTTATTTTCCACACACACGCACACACACACCAAACTCAGAGCAAACTTCACACAGCGTGTCCTGAACCTACCTGAGCAGGTCTGAGACGCTGTGCACGGTTAAGAGTCTCCCATGGACCGTCAGTGAGGGCAGGCTGGTGTGCACAGAGTCCTGGAGCGCGCAGAGGACTCAGAGACGGATCAGGATCAGGACTCAGACACAGATCAGGCAGACAGGCCAGCTCAACTGGCCCCACCCAGAGCCTTATGTGCACAGGGTTGAGTCAAGGCTCTGCTGAGGAGCTCTGAGGGAGGAAGTGATGCTGCTTTGCTGTAGGTGATGCTGTGTAAAAGGAGCTTTAATGAAGAGGAGTCTGACCTACAGGAGGAAGAGGAGGAGGAGATGCACCCGGACTCATCAGTGACAATTAGCAAGTTAGAAAAGAAAATAAATCTCAGCTGGTGCAGAGCTCAGCTTCCCACTTCTGCAGGTGTGATGTAAAAAAAATATTTTTCAAGTCACAATGAGAAACTTTTTCAGTATTTAAGAAATGAAAGACTTTTCTCAACATAATAACTATAATATGAACACTAAAGACTATCATCTGTCATTATTCTGAGAAAATGTCTCAGTATTCTACGTTATTATTTAAAGGAATCTCATTGTTTTTGAAACACTAAGTACGTTTTTTTTATTACAAAGACATTATTTTGGGAAAGTTTATTATTTTAAAACACTGAGTCAATATTTTGAGAATATTTGTCATTATTTTTATGATAATAGTAATTACTGTAAGAAGGTTTCTTATCAGTTTATAAGTTAATGTCTCTCATTTAAAAAGAAAACTTGGTAATAATTTTGAAAAATGTCTTTTTTAAAAATATTTTGAGAAATCGCATTTTTTTAAAAAAAATACTACCTAATTATTTTGAGATTAATAAGTCATTACTCTGTGAAATCTAAATGTTTAAAGAAAAAATAGGTAATGTATTTAGAGAGATTTTCATTTGTTTAAGATTTCTAACTCATTATATTTAAAAAAAAATTCTTTTGAGATACTAAGTCAATATTTGGAAAAAGTTTCTTATTATTTTGTGATAATTTGTCATTAGTTTGAGAACATTTGTCATTTTTTAAAAGTACAAGGACATTATTTTGGGAAAGTTTATTATTTTAAAACAGTCAATATTTTTTATAATATTTGTCATTATTTTATGATACTAGTCATTACTTTAAGGTTTCTTATCAGTTTATAAGTTAATGTCTCTTATTTAAAAAAGAAAACTAGGTAATTATTTTGAGATTAATAAGTTATTACTCTGTGAAATATAAATATTTTTAAAAAATTAGGTAATTTTTTCTAACTCATTAAAAAAATGGTTTCTTTTGAGATACTAAGTCAATATTTTGAAAAACTTTCTTATTATTTTGAGATAATTTGTCATCATTTTGGGAAAGTTTCTCATCATAATGTCTTATAGAATCTTTAATTGTTTTACAGTGGCAGAAATAGGCTTCCATACATTTGGGATTATTTTTACTTCAGATAATATTACGTCTTCGTTTTTACAAGTCAGATGACTTTTTTCATGTGCTAATAAATGATATCATTGATATCATTGCAGAAACTCAGCTGAGGTGCTGAGCTGACGATGACCTGCAGCTGGTCCCTGTGCAGCCCTGAGTGATGACCACCAGACACATAGATGCACCCGCCATGACACACCTGCATGTTACTGTCCACATCTGGAGAGGAGCCCCTCTGCCCTCAGCTGGCTCCTCTTCCTCTCCGCCCTCTGCTGGGCTGTTCACATTGACTCAACCCCGCGCACACACGGTTCTGGATGGGGCCGCTGCAGCTGTGCCGGCTGGGTCTCTTATCCGGGGTTTTAGCAGTGATGCAATGTTTCCAGATGTGGAACAAGAGAAAAAAATATCCTTATTAATCTGAGCTGAGGAGCAACAATTATTCTCCCACACATACAGACGGTCAACACAGTTATTACATAACACACTCTTTGTTTCACTTTCTCCTGAAATGAGGAAAATATTTGTTTATTATGACGTCATCACACTTTATGAACGTTAACACATTTCACTCACACACTTTGATCCCAAGTGACTTTAGGACGAAATGTTAAAATGTTTATCAGGATAGTTAAATCAACCACGTGTCTGAGTAACTGTGACGTCACAGATCATCTTTACTCTCTTCTTATACCTGCATCACTTTCAGTGTGTGTGTGTGTGTGTGTGTGTGTGTGTGTGACTAAAGGAACTCCAGCTGTGCAGTGAGCTCAGTGAGGTGGGAGTGGGTGGATGACTCTGTGGTTTGTTGTGATCTGAGACTTCTCATTATCAGCTTCCTCCGCTCAGTTTGCAGGGACAGGACGAGGGCGCCTCCTGCTGGACGAACACACACATTACAATAACCTGTGACACCAGGGGTCAGCAGCACCCTGTACTGCCATAAGAGACATTTCTGACCAATAAATGAAACTAGTCCATACCCATTGAGTACAGCATACCATACCATGACTTAGTCACACCAAATATTAGAAACAACACCAACATTGGTCCACAGGGGGAGCCACAGCGATCGGTCGCATTTTAGCCATTTTGAAGCATTTTTCTGTTGTTATAGCGCCACCCAGTTGCCAATTAGAGTTAAATTTCTCCAGTCACCTTGAGGCGTCCTGTTCTACATATCTACCAAGTTTAGTAAAAATCCATATGGCGGTTAGGCCTAGATAAGAAATGAGCTCTCTAGCGCCCCCATTTTGTTTGATGGGGTCAATAATGGAGGGGTCCCCTCAGATTATGTGTGGTCATATGCCTACAAAGTTGCGTGGTGATGGGTGAAACCCTTGAGATGTTATACACCTTTATGTGATGAGCCACGCCCTCCGCAATATTCATTGCCTTATAGAAGCTCAGTTTTAGTAAGTTTTCCAACTTTTGCCAAGAGGGAACTTTAGATATTGGTCCCTAGATTATGTTCACCCAGTTTCATGCAGATCGCTCAAACTTCCTAGGAAGAGATCCATTTGAAGTGTTTTTCAAAAAATTCAAAATGGCGGAAAATCTATATAAGCGGAAGTTATGGGTTCTTGAGGCAAATGTGTTCCTCATGAGGAGAGGCATCTCTGTGCAAAGTTTCATGTCTCTACCACATACGGGGCATGAGATATGCCCATTCAAAGTTTGACATTTCAATGGGTTGCTATAGCGCCCCCCTTTGGCCAATTGATGTAATATTGCTTCATTGGCATCCTCCCATGACCCTCTACCACTGTGCCAAATTTCACATGGATTGACCAAGTCAGTGAGGAGAAAAACGTGGAACACACACACACACACACACAGTTCATCATTATATAGTAAGATAAGATAAGATAAAATAAAATAAAATGAAAAAACAATTTCTTATGTGCATAAATACAAATGAAATTAAATGATAAAGTACATGTGGGGTTGTGGTAGAAAACCTATATAATGGCTCAAAAAGATAAACATGCAGAATCACCGCTACATTTTGAATATTAGCATTTAAAAGTTCACGTAAGTGTTGAATTAAAAAAGGAGCGAAACAGAAATAACTGCCAGATTCACATATTTACAGTGTGAGCAACAGTTTCTAGCTCTAGAGTTTTTGACAGCAGGACTCGGCTGACCAGATTTCAGATCAGATCAGAGTCAATCAAATCTTGAAAACTGAAGAAGAAGAAAAGAAAAGGAGTATTTTGAAGTCAGAGCAGATCACATGATCCAGCCTGAGGTTTGATCCTCACCAAACCTGCAGTGTGTCTGCTCAAAACTCATCTCATTCTGATCCTTGACGGCAGGGTTCAGGAGCAATATGTCATAAAAGTTATTTATATTTTGACTTGTTTGACAGTTACTTTGATGAAGAAGATGTTAGGCTCCATATTAAACCTCTCAGTACACTCAAGTTAAAAAAGGATGTTGTCCCAGCAAAGCAATCCCCCAAATATCTGTCAAAATCAAACATAAATCCCATTTACAGCACTGGGTATCTGGATGTGCTCATCTGTAACGTTTCTATCTGGATCAGTTTGATTCAGTCAAATGTTGCTTTGTTTTGTTCTGATCCAGATTAAAGTATTTTGAACAGCTGAGCCCCGAGAATGTAGAAGTCTGTTGGTGTTCATGGACAGCAACACAGGAATCCATTAAAGGTGCATTTAATGTAAAGTTAAGCATTCATTAATTGATTTAATAATGTTCATCCAACACCACTCAGTCAGCGTCTGATGAAATAAATATTGATAAAAAAAACACAAACACAAATGTCTTTATTAATTTTTATTAATGATCTGTATATTTTTAATAAAACATCAAAAAGCCTTCATTTTCTCTACAGGAGGGATCATGGCTGACTCTGAGCATGTGCTGAGTCATGACTCATTAATATGTTAAAATACAGATTGTGTAATTTTAAACACTGATGAGCTCAGATATCTTTTCTCTGTGTGGAAACTTTGAAGAGTTTAGTTTCCCTCTCCTTGTTCTCCAGGAGGCATCTGAACAAACACCTGCTGCAGGTATTCACTCCTGGAGTGGTGATGGAGGGAGCTCAGCAGACGGACACACGTCAGGCATGAAAGAAAAAAACAACGCTGACTGGCTGCTCAGTGGCTGAGAGCTGATTGGCTGCTCAGTTGGCCTTGGTGGACAGACACTGGTTGACCACCTCTAGCAGCGACGAGTTCTCCAGAGCCGCCGCCACTCGCTCTTTGTCCGCCAGCTGTTTGTTCACTGCACAACAATAAGAAGACGTGTTAACACATCACAGTCAAACCCTCAGAGCACGGTCATATCCCATCATGCCTGCTGTCTCTGCGTGAGCTTTACCTGCGTCCTCTGAGGCGTGAGAGCCAGGTGTGATGTGGACATCGATCTGAGAGGAAACAGAAACAACACACACAACGCTCAGACTGAAGAAGAAGAACACAACACACAGGAAGTCCACAGTGTACGACATGATGGTCAGACTGACACAC